ATGTATAACTGGTCGCAGTCCTCCTGGCACTTAACAGCATATACAACATTGCTCTGTTTGCTCTCTCAACATTGCAAACTCTCAGACTGAAGAAGTCTTCTGGAGGAGAGACGAAAAGTTTCAATAGAGAAGAACCCGTCCAGAAGACCGATACAATTTTTTTCTTTTTGATTTTTTACCTGGATTACTGAGTTGCATCAGGACATACAGTCTGTTTTATTACATTTAGCTTGACTTTAGCAACGTTTAACTATTAGCTAACTTGTTAACTTTAGCTTGTGCATAGCATTTTGATACTTTGTGTTTAACTAGCTATTTGCTACTTTCAGCTACCCTTTTGCAAATTTTAGCATTTGGATAACCTTTTAACACTTTTAGCTTATATCCAGGCTTTTGCTTTTTTGAACTTCTTGCTAACATTTTGTGTTTGTTTAGATTTTTTCCACTTTTTGGTACCCTCTTACTAATTTTAGCTTTTCTTAAGCTTTTGGTTTTATTTTGCTAGATTTTTTTGTTACTTTTAGGTAGCCTTTGGCTACTTTTAGCTACTGCTTTGCTACCTTTTGTTAGCATCATACTTGTAGCTATCATTGTGATACATTTAGCTTTTAGCTAGCCTAGCCTAATACTTTTAGCTTAATTTCTAGCTAGCTTTATATATGTTGAGCTAGTCTTTGCTGYCAGTTTGTGCAACATTTAGCTTGCCTTTTACTTCTTTCAGCTATACTTTGATACTTTTAGCTAGTTTTGTTTGCTACTTTTAATGTGTAACTAGCATTTTGCTACTTTTAGCATTAGCTAGCCTTTTGCCAGGTTTAGTTCAATGAGGTATATTTACCTCATATATATTTACCTTAGGTAAATATACCTCATTGGTTTAGTAATTTTTGCTATTTTTACTTAGCTATCAACGTTTTGCTATTTTTATTGATTACCTAACCTTTTGATGTTTTATTTATACCTTTTGTTTAACATTTTGTTACTTTTAAATTAACTTTTTTCAGTTACGTTCCTCTTGATTTACATTTCAGCAGGGGTTCAGCTGCTTTTAGCTTTYGTCAGTTCAGTAGTTTCACATTCTTCAGCAGTTTCCTGGAAGGTCACCAAACCCTGGTTTCCAGCAGGCCGCAGCTTTAATATCTAACTTGTGTGTTTGTTTCTGTGACCCACCAGCCCCACGATGTTCCAGGGGTGACGGCGGCTGAAGGACTTGCAGAAGGAGAGCGGGAGGAAGACCACGGCGAAGACGATGAAGGAGCTGAGGTAGGCCCACAGGTTGTCCTGCACCGCCTTTTTCACAAMGCTGGAGAAGGTGAAAACACAAACTACAGAGAAGGTGAACAGCAGCTGGAGAGTCAGGAGGCAAAACACCTGCAGGAGAAAAAAAACAGAAAATATTTGTTTATGAGAATAAAAGTAGGAMTATCTAAAAACTGCCACAGGAATGTAATTTATTCTTCTTCCCACTGACAGGCCTCAATCTATTAAAAAAACTAAAATTGGATTAATTTAAGAGTTTAGCAGTGTTGTATAAAGTACCACAAAGTGATACTTGAGTAAAAGTACAAGTATCTTACCAAAAAATTACTTTGGTAAAAGTTAAAGTCTCCTTTAGGAATACTACTTGAGTAAAAGTCTTAAAGTATCTTACCAAAAAATTACTTTGTTAAAAGTTAAAGTCTCCTTTAGGAATACTACTTGAGTAAAAGTCTTAAAGTATCTTACCAAAAAATTACTTTGGTAAAAGTTAAAGTCTCCTTTAGGAATACTACTTGAGTAAAAGTCTTAAAGTATCTTACCAAAAAATTACTTTGGTAAAAGTTAAAGTCTCCTTTAGGAATACTACTTGAGTAAAAGTCTTAAAGTATCTTACCAAAAAATTACTTTGGTAAAAGTTAAAGTCTCCTTTAGGA